AGAGAACCTGAGGATCATGAAGCCCTTCATCCTGCTGTTTTCAGGCCAACCCTTATTTAGTGGCAGGCTAAGTTGCTATGATAAAAATCAACCTAGGCGGGGGATATAGCTCAGTTGGTAGAGTGCTTGCTTCGCATGTTCAAGGCCCTGGGTTCAATCCCCAGCACCAAAAAACAACAACAATTAAAAACCTCATACCACCCAAAACAGTGGCTCATATGGAATAAAAGATTAATCCTCCCCCTCAGAGGTAGGCAAGTGGTGCTTCCCGTGAGCTTGAACAGACACCCAGGTTCTTTCTATCTTGTCACTCTCTTTGGCTATTGTTGTTATCTAACCAATCAGTTCTGACTTCCCAGGACTTTGAATCCCCCCATGTTAAGGAAGAGAGAACAGAGAGCTTCCTTATAAGAACACAATGTGAGGTTAGGAATGGAGCTCAGTGGGAGAGCACTTCTTGCCTAGTACATATAAGGTCCTGGGTTTGATCCTCAATACAGCAATAAAAATAATAACAATAATGCAGAAGCTACACACTCCCTTCCGTTCTTACACTTTTGATCACAATTTAAGCATCACGCCACACTGAGTTGTAAGGCAGGCTGAAACTGCAGCTGGTGATCACATGTCCTTTTACTAAAGGAAACAATGGAGACAAGGGATCACTTACACTCCTTGCCATAGGAGAGTCTCAAAGCAAAGCCTTTCTCTGGCTTTAATTCAGTTTGTGTAAATGGCCACAGAGCAAATATTTTAAGCTTTTGAGAGTCACATACTCTCTGTGTCACATATTATTCTTTGTTTTTCTTTTTTTCTTAAACCCTTTAAAAATAATATGAACCATTCTGAGCTCAAGAGTCAGTCAGAAATAGGCTAGGTGTGGATTTCGACTCTAGCTTGCCAACACTTAGATTACATGAATCAATAAATTCCTTTTTTAGTCTTCTTCAATTAAAAATGGTCTTTACTTTTTGATCGTAGAACAGGATTTTTTTTTCTTGGTACTGGGGCTTGAACCCAGGGTCTTACATATGCCAGGCAAGGGCTCTACCCCTTAGCTACACCCCTAGACTCAGGAATTTAAATATATGTGTTAGATGGAAGAGAACTGTAATAAGCATCCAGTTAATTCTGAAGGGGAGTTGGGTGGAAATGCATGCCATTGGAAGATTTAATGACATACATAAAATTTGAGCTGGGATTTTTGTAAGGAATGAGAAAATCTGTGCTCCCTCTTTTACGAGGTCAGAGAACATCTTAAGTAGTCAGAAGACACAGATGGAGTGGTGACAGAGAAAGGGTACACCCACCCTTTTATCTTTAAGCTAGTTTGAGTTAGTCTGCTGTCAGTTACAGGCAAATGAATTTGGAAAAAAAAATACAGTGAACAAGGTGGAGTTCTCCCCCTCCTGCCTGTAATCGATAAAGGGCGTGCGTTATGTGGCGGAGATTCTGAACCTGGAAGCATGTTTGGGGAGTTTCCCACCCAGAAGGATCCTGGAAGTTCAACAGGCTCCACCCCAGATGTGACGTTGGTTCAACCAACCAAACCCACCCACCTGGGCCAGGAGAGGGAGCCAATGGCACCCAGAAGAGCAAAGAATCCATTCTGGGGGCAGCCATGGTAACATACACACCTGGTTCCCAGAACTGTAGGGGCAGCAGTCAAGGATTCAACCCTTCATGAATTTTAGGTATGGTTCTGGACTCCCAGATTGCCTTTGTCCTGCCTGTATGGAAAGCCCAGTTCTTCTATCTTCTTGGTGATTCTATGGGTCTAGTCAATATCCTTTCAGAAATTTCCTTTTCTTCATTTAGCCAAGATTGTTTGCTGACAATGACAGACCCCTGACGATGTGCACATATCCTTCAGGGCTCATAAGGCTGGACTTGATCCCTGATCCCTGATCCCCTTGCTGATCCTCTACCCAGAGGCCCCAGGCCCTTCCCCCTTTCACCTTTTGCAGCTCTGTGCCATCCAGGACCAGCTGAAAGGTGGCTTCACGGTTGCTCCATCACAGGAACAAAGGCAAATGGCTGCACTGAAATCAGCAGGCTTTCTCACCATCTGAACAGGAGTGTGTAGGTGTTGCCTTGGGCCAGTTCATGGAGAGACCGTGTGGGAGTGACTTTCAGTTTGCAGCTAGTAGCTACCAGCAGCTCAGAGTGCTAGGAAAACCTATGCTCATACAGGCCTGACAGGAACACCTGCAGGGTGGGGCACTCTGCTCTAGGGAACCATCTGAGTGAAGCCACATCCTCAGTGATTGAGGTCAGCATCTCCAGGGAACCAAGAGACGAAGGCCTGAGGCATGATTCCCCCAACTCATAAGGCCCCCTTTGCATAGGGACAATGATCCTTCCAGACTGCCTTCCACTGAGTAGCAATATTGAGAACTTCCTCATAGTATGGTTACATTGACCATAAGATGATTGGTTTCTAAATGTTAGGTCATCTGCTTGCTTATGTATGATTGGAGGATCAGTTGTAACTTCTTCCGCATTAAATGAGCTTGCAGGAGGTCCACTGGAGGTCTGTCACCTGCCTGCTCTCACCAGCTCCGGATGTCTGTGTCTTGACTCCACGTCCATACCCGCCGTGACTGAGTATAGCCGAGGGACCCACAGCAACAATATGGTATCTAAGATCTGGTACAGCCGGCCTCCTGGAGGGTGAACATCCTCAGGAAAGAGAGGCTGGTGGTTGACCATACAGTTCCTAGACTGTGGAGGCAACTACTGACCCCCAGATTTCAGTGTACCCTGGATCCAAGGAACTGCCTGGAATTGGGCAAAGAGGGCCGAGACCAGTGGTTGGGTAGCAGAAAGGCAGGGGAAGAAGGAAGAAGGATAGTCTTCTGTCCCCACACTGTCCTATTTGCAGAAGATGTAGTGATTAGAGGGTTTTCTGTTTCCTAAGAGTTCTTAAAACAAGTCCTGGGTCCTGCCTGGCCTTTTTTTTTTTCCTTTGGGGACAAGGAAAGAAGGTTTTAAAGGTAGGACAATCCCATTTCTTTTTGCTACTGGTTGATTTAGGAATGGGTTTGTGTCTCAATTCTGGCTATTGAGATTCAATGAGAAGTCTGTGGGAGGACTTCTGAAAACTCATGATCATGGTCATGGTCACATGAGGTCATGATGCTTGGAGTTGCAGCAAGTCGTTCTGCATCCAAAAGGAGATAAGGAAGGCAGAGGGGGGAAAATAGAATGTACAAGGCTGTTAATAACTTCATCYAATCATTGAGCCAATCCTAGAGCCCTCTGCCTTCAGATTAATTCAGTGAATGAATAAATTTTATGAAGTTTGAGTCATTACTACTTGGGCATTCTAATATTTGACCAACTTAAATATAGCTTTGATGACATATGCTCAAAGTTCAAGAGCTCCRGTTCCCTTTTGTTATACAAATGTAAGATGTTGTTACAGATAATCCCCACACGGTGGCGCTTACATGCTACCTTGCTGATACATTTTCTTTAATGCTCTCTATTGCTCAATTAAAATGAATACTGCATATCTGTTATACCTAGTTATTAGAAGTTAATAAGGTATTTATACTATTAATTTAAAAATTAAAGTTTAATATGAAAAAATGTAGCTTTACTTTCCGTAACTGACTTCATCTTGTTCTCTAGACATGATTTTATGAACCGCAGAGAATAATGCTCCAACTTGCCAATAAGTATAGCWCATCCTCTTCCAATTTTATTTTGTTTAGTTTTGGGGTTTGTTTGGGGAATTGAACCCAGGAATGCTCTCCCACTGAGCTAAATCCCCAGCCCTTTATTTTTATTTATTTATGTATATATATTTTATTTTGAGACAGGGTCTTGCTAATTGCTTAGGGCCTCACAAAGTTACTCTGCTGGCCTCAGACTTGCAATCCTCCTGCCTCAGCCTCCTGAGTTCCTGAGTATTTTGTGCTACTGCACCCAAGGTATTTTGTTATTTTTTCCCCAAGTACTGGGGTTGAATCCAGGGTTGCTCTACCATGAGCTACATCCCCACTTATTTTTTACAGTGAAACAACCTTGCCACATTGCCTAAGCTTGCTTCAAAGTTGTGATCCTCCTGTCTTGGCCTCCCAACTAACTGGGATTCCAGGCATGCCACACAGTGCCCAGCTCTCTTCTGACTTTAAACTGTGTCTTATGGATAGACAACTAGTGAATTCTGAGTTTGCATTCATTATCAGTGGCCCTTTAGAGAGTCTCCCAATGGCTGTTCTTGCTGCTGCTGGAATTGCCTGCTGGTTCTACTGTTTTCCTGATGACTGTTAGGGGGCTGTTACTCTGTGACATTCAATCTGCTTTTATTATCAATCTGTTTTTATTATAATTCGAGTTTTTACAAAAATCCCACAAAACTCAAAGTTCTTGCTCCTAAGAGAGGGAATGTACACCTTAAGAGAGGGAATGTACCCCCTAAGATAGCAAAGGACTGCTGGACAGATCAGGGTTGGGGGGGGGGTGGGCAGAATGATATGGATACTGGGCCTGGGGGGACTCTTGTTGTGGTGTTTTGGTAGGATGCCCCCTAAAAGTCACAGTATCACCTCAGATGTACCTGCCAGGGGCATGAGATCCCGGGGAATGACTCAGGATTGTTCATGGTGTCCATGTTCAGAAGTAGCCTCCAGTGATGGTCACCTAGCCAAATTGTTCTGTGCAATGATTTTTTGCTGAAGGTCAGATAGCATGTATATTTATATGATAGAGCTAGGATTTAAATCTGCTTATCAGAGACCAAAGACCCACTCCAGTCTCCTTTAACACCTTCCCCAGAGGAGAGGTGGGGGACCCCAGGACTTTGAGTGCCTCTGGAGGCTCTAGAAAAGGCAATTATTCCAGAGTGGAGCCCCAGCAGCAGATGAGGTTCTAACCCCACGCCCCTGTGATCCAACAGAGAGTGGAGACCAGATCAAGTTCTATGGGTTCTGGGCACTTGCTCACCATCCCAGTCCCTGATCTGGAGAAGCAGGCACACAGCCTTGGAAAGAATGGATAAGTATGGTGAGTGGGGCTGGTGGTAGGCAGGGGCCAGAGGATGGGGCATCATGACCCCAGCCTGAACCAACTCACCCATCACCATGGTAACCCCAGAATAGAAGTTGAGCCTTTTCTCAATTACCTATCTTCATAGCTACAAGCCTTCTCCTTTCTCCTTTTTCTTGTTTGGTTGTTTTTTGGTACTGGGAATCGAACCCGGGGCGCTTAACCACTAAGCCATATCCCCAGCCCTTTTATTTTTTATTTTGAGACAGGATCTCACTAAGTTACTTAGGGATGGCCTCACTAAGTTGCCAAGGCTGTCTTTGAACTTGCAGTCCTCCTGCCTCAACCTCCTGAGTCTCTGGGATTACAGGTGTGCACCACCATGCCCAACTTCTTCTTCTGGGATATTCTTGACATCTCCTTTATTTCTAGCTTGCTTCTGTTTGGATCTCTGTCTTCTATGGCCTGGACCATTGTAATGACTCTTAAGTAGTTCTCCTCCATCTTGTCAGAGGGAACATCCTAAAACAGCTCTGAGCATGACCCTCCATCAGATTGTTCAGTGGTGTCCACTGATGAAGGACAAGCTGGACTCCAAGTCCCATCCTTCTTTTTCAAACCCATTTTCTGCTCTCCTTTCTCCTGAAATGTCCCCAGCACTCCTTTCTGGCTGCATACCAGGCTTGGCCTTTCAAAACCAGAAGACTATTTAATCTGTTTTCCTAGGTAAAAGTGCAACGGACCCCTGGTTTTTCACTTTTAGCAATACCAAGAACAGGCAGAACCTTTGAAACAACTTCTCCTTAAAGATTTCAAACATTCTGGATCACATTCAGAAACCCCGCTATTACCCGTGCATCACCTACCTAAGAGGGTTGTGGAGATTAAGAGACCTGATGTAGGAAGAGAACAATGACTGTACACAGTTGGTGCCGAATACACAGGGATTAGAATGGCAATAATCATTTCCTTTTGCTTAAATAGTATGGAAAGGGATCTATACTTTTTTTTCTTTTATAATAATTATTTTTTGCAATAGTGAGGATCAAATCTGGGGCTTTACACATGCTGGGCAATTAGTTGCTCTAACCCCCAGTTCTTTTTATTTTTAAGTTTGAGACAGGGTTTGATAATTTACTGAGGCTGGCCTTCAATTTGCACTCTTTCTCCCTCAGAGTACCCTGCCTGGCTAGGAGTTTTTCTTGACCTTCCAGGACAAACTCCCAGAATTGTGCCTTCCCTTTTCTTCTCATGATAAATCTAGCTCTCCAGACACAGGCGCTGGGTGAATGAATGTTTGCTGACAGGTGGACACCAGCTTCCACATTAGCTTGAAGTTATGGAGCTCATGCCCTGAACAAAAGTGTTGAGAGCCACAGCCGAGTTGTGGCTTTCAACACAAAAGTGCCAGCAAGAGTGGGCAGTAGTGTTTAAAATCTACTGGCAATTGGGTCATGCCTGAAGGAAGAGGCATCTCTTCTTAATTTGTCCACCCCCAGGGCAGCTCTTTCCTAATTGATTGGTTCATGGAAAGGATCTTTTTATCTGTTCTGTCTGCCTATACAGATAGCTCTACTAATCACAAAGAGTCCTGTCCACCCTACCACCAGTGATGCTGGGGCTCCCTAAGACAAGTCCCGCTTTGAGGAGGGAAAACTCATATAGAAAACAAAATACAAACAACCACCTATTAAAAGACAACTCACGCAATTAATGTTTACTGATAGCCTACCCAGAGATCAGGCACCCCTAGAGCCAATTAGAAGAAAGTGGTGATCTGGGGATGCAGTTCAGTGGTAGAGTAAGGTACTGGGTGCAATCTTCAGAACCGAGATTAGAAAAGGAAAGTAAAGAAAAAGAAAAGAAAGGTGGTGAGGCACTACTTCACCTCACTACACAGATGAGGAAATGGCTTGACAGAAATGAGGTCACTTATCCCGAATCCTTAGCTTGGCAGTGCCTGGGAGCAGCCCTGCTTGCCCCGGGCATGTTTCATACTTTGAAACCCTCTCAAGGAGTCCAGCTGGTCCGGGGCATCTCACACGCACTGTCCTTCAGAGCCCTGCACAGTCAAGTGTTCCCAGGTCCTCCACCAGGGACAAAGGTACAGCGCTGAGCTCCTCCTCGCTCGCAGGTGTGAAGACCCCCTTGTGGAAGAAGGAGCTGGAGGAGCCTTGCGCCAAGGAGGCGACTCAGGAGAAAGAGGAGGAGAGGTCTGAGGAGGACGACGAGGATGTGATCGCAGATAGCGCGGCAGAGGTCGCGGAGGAGACGCGCCAGGCGGAGGTGGAAAGCCGCGAGCGGCTCTCGGTGTCCTACTACCCGCTGCGCCAGGAGCCCAGCACCCAGCAGGTGGCGCTGCTGCGGCGCTCAGACAGCGGCTTCTGGGGCTGGTTCAGCCCCTTGGCGCTGCTGGGCAGCCTGGCTGCTCCTGCCGAAAGGTGAGGATGCTCCTTGGCCCCGCACCAGGACCCGGGTGCTGAGCCCCAGGGAGGATGGAAGGCCCAGGGCACTGAGAGCTCGGGTTCCCGGCCGCAGGAAGCGAAGCCTTCCGGAGGAGCCGTGCGTGCTGGAGACGCGACGGTCTCCGCGCCTCGGGGGCTGTGCGCGCTGCGAGATCCTTTTTTGCAAGAAATGCAAGAGCCTGCACAGCCACCCGGCTTACGTGGCGCACTGTGTTCTGGAACACCCGGATCTGGGTAAGGCGGAGACGGCTGAGGGCTCTGAGCAACTCCGCTCTCAGCCTGTGTCCTCCAACCTTGCCTAATGTCAAACTCCCTGCAACCTTCTCTACCGCGAAGCTAGCCCCCTCCAGCATGATCCACAGAACTACCCCTTCTTCGAGCTGTACCCAGAGCACCCCCACTCCGGCAAGAAGCCCCACTGTAGGTAAGCCCCACTGTCATTTAGTGGGGCTCTAGGTTATGCTGGGCTCTGCATGGGGGGACTCTGTATAACCTAGAACTCCATTACTCTCAGTGCTCTCGAAGGGCTCCAGCCCTCAGGGAGCACCCAGCCTTCACCACCACCTGATTCACGTTCCCGACACAGTTTCACAAGCATCTCTTTCAGGTTCTTCTAGCCTGGTGAGCAGAGGCATCTCCTAGAAAAAGTACCCTCTGGTTTTCCTCATCCCTCTGAAAAGTTGCCCCTTTCCCTCAAATCATTCAATAAAGCCTCTAATCAAAGTGTCAGTGCCTTGAGATGGGGGCGAGGTGGCTTTAAGTAGGAGTAAGGAAGATGAGACACTCTTTCCCCTCCCTGGGTTCAAGTCAAGAGAGAAGGCTGGCAGGGAGCCACCTCTCTCACCTCCCCGGGGCAGGGTAGCACAAGGCCCTTGAATCCAAGGGCAGTCAAAGGCCAGTCTCCCCACGGCACAGAGAAGACAGGCGCAGAGCCAGCAATGCCCCTCGGGAAGGAAGGGAGGAACCCTCCCAGACCATTCTCCTCTCCCTTGGAAGCTGTTTGCTGAGGTCAATGTGTGTGCAGATGAGGCACTGGCAGGTGTGGAGGGAAGGGAGGAGAACTAGATGCTAAAATAAATGCTGAGACTGGCTGAAGCAGAAGATGGAGGCTGGGGAGTTGGTTTCTTCTCCAGGAATCCCGGCTATTCTTGGCCAGACAGCAGGAGCTCTGGGAATGCTGTGTGTGTGGCCTGGAGAATGGGGCCATTGTGAGCACTAAACCTCCCCCAACCTGCAGAACCCTTTTGGAGGCTGCATCCTGAGCGCCAGCAGCAGTGCAGCAACCCCACCCCCCACTGTAAGCCCTCTGACTTCTCCCTGCTGCAAGGGTTCTCTATCTCAGGGGTSTTTGGGGGGGGGGGATGAGTACATTTTGCTTTTTGAGGAGAGGCAGAAGCCCCCATTTACATGTAGCTGGCTGGCCCAGGCTTGGATAGAAGAGCATTATACTACAAGTTTGATATACACAGTAGAGACTGCTATAGTCCATCTTTCTTACACATCTGCTGTCACTGGAAAGGATGGAAGAACTGGCTCAAGGAATACTGCTTCCCACCTGCAGGCCCACCAGCTGGGGATGACACTGTTTATTCCTGCCCCAGACAAAAGCCTTGGAAACCCATAACAAATCTCCCTCTTGTTCTACATCCTGAACCCCCAATGGGCCCCTGAGGTCAGAGACCCTGTGCCTTCACCCCATGGGAGCTTACTGGGGTGAGATCTGAATAAATAAGACACACTACAAGAACTGAGCCAGGAGACCCTAAGAAGAAGGGGTATAGCTTGGCATCCCTCCTGGTCAGATTCCAGTGCTGTCTCCTTGCAGACAGAACAGAACCATTAGCAGAAGAATCAAAATCTCTGAGGTTTGGGAATGAAAGAGGTCCTCGGTGGGAAGAATTGTGGGATCTGGGACCCTTTTTTCCTTCCCCTTGGATTGATCGCACCCCCACCTCCATGTAGTGGGAATAGCAGTGTTCCCCAAGGAACAAAAGCACACAAACTTCCTGATGAAGATTTTGCGGCTCAGTCTTCTGCAGGGAGGCGGGGGCTTCCAGGTCAGGTTCTGCCCCTGCATCTGGGATGTGAATGGACCCTCAAGGCACCGAGGGTTCATTAGGTGATGAGTTGCCTTCAGAACAGGGTGCCTCCCGAGTTGGCATGCCAACAGCCCATCCAGGGCAACTCAGTGGCCCAGCGGCCTGAAGCAGTCACTCGAAGTTTGGTTTGGTCCAGGCGCCAGTAGCGGTCATCTCTGAAGAAGATGATAGAGCCATCTTTCCTTGGCAAGGCACCACTGACCTCCTCAGGGACACCCTTCCAGTCCTGCAGACTGCGGGGGTAGTAGGGTTCCACTTGCAGTCCACCTTGGGCCAGCACATAGTAGCGGGCACCCTTGAAGAGGATGATGCGGTGCAGAGGAGGGAAGAAGAGGGCTGCATCGGGATGGCGGGGCAGGCCCCCTGCCCGGCACAGCTGTGAGAAACCCCACACTGACTTGGAGCCCCGGAACCTCCAGCATCGACTCCCTGTCGGGCATTGAGAAAGACAGGATGAGCTGGAGCCCATTGGTCCCACCCATTGGTCTTCACTCCTTTGCTGTCTCCCTTCTTCCACTCAAGTTGAAGCCCAAGGTTGTTGGTTAATGGGGGCTACCAAAATGGATCATGCTACAAGTTAGTTATATACTGTAGGGGAGGGACTGCTATAGTTTAGGCTTCCAGCAGKTGTCAGCAGAGAGCCAACAGCCCAGAATGAACCTATCAATTTGCGCTTGCAGGGAGAGCAGGCTGGGGCCTGGAGAGGGGGCACAGTCCCTTCCCTGGGGGAGGAATGGAACACGGAGAAGTCTTGGAACTTTCTTCAAGTCTACTAATTCTAAAAGGCAAGGGTTTTTTKTTGTTGTTGTTCATGGCCACATTCCTGACACTTCCAGTGGTTTGGCACATAGAAGGGCCTCCACATTRGTTTAATGAATGAATGAAGGAATGAATACTATCTACTAAAGAATTATGACATATCTAGCAATATACTGCACACTCCTGGCCATTATTTTTATCCTCCTTCCCCCCCAAAATGTATTATTTTCCCTATTGAAGGAATGCAAGCTCTAACAATTAAGTGACAACCCCAACCTCACACAGGATTCCTTAGAAGACACCATTCTTTCTGGAATGCCAGAGCTCAATAGCAGTCCTCTGCTTCCCTTTAGACTCTTCTCTGAAATGCTCCCCAGGACAACTTTGACACCTGCTGCTCTCCACTTCATCACTGAAAGGAATTTCCTGGTAGTATGTTCCTGGGGTCACTGGTTCATTGTGGGGYAGAGACTCATTGGATGAGTCTCCTCCCCTAAGCCTCAATTTTCTCAGTTACCTCAAGGTTGATACCTTTGAAGAAGTAGAAGTCTCCATCCTCCAATGACACTGCAGCAGCCTCAATGTTGGGAGGCAGCCCGGCCCACCTGTCCTGTAGTGGGCGGGGCTCTGAGACATTGCCATCAGGTGTCACCTTCCAGAAGTAGCTCCCTTTAAAGATGTACACTTGTTGGTCCCCATCTGCTTGGAAACAAGAGAACCTTGAGGAATGACCATTGACCTCTGCCATGTTTCAGGGAAGGTATTATGAAGAACCCAGCTTCCCAAATCAACAAGCAAAAGGTGTGATGTGCGCAAGGGACAGTTGGAGGAGAGACAGGAGGAAGCAGTACTTGGCTTTCTGTGAGCTTGCTACTGTGCAGAATGCTTGTAGCTTGGGATTTATGGCTTCTATAATCCATCCCTGCACCTTGTACTCCAGTTCTGGGGACCCTTGGAGATATGAAAAAGGAAAGAAGGAAGCCAGGCACGGGTGGGACCATCTTACCTGCAGTGATAGCATCGAAGAAAGAGTGGCAGTATTTAGGACCCTGGGTTTCAGGGTGCCTGCCTTGGGAGTTATGGGGATCCCAGGCCTCAAAGTCAGTGAACAACTTTCCTGGGAGCTGGATGGCCCTTGAGCCCCCTAGGGGCTTCCCTTTAGGAGTAAAGAGAGAAGAGGGAGAGAACAGACTGGTGGGGGTATGTTGAGTACTCAACCCTTCCCTTTGATTCCTTTCATGATTGTCTTACATGAGGGGCAAGGAGGAGGATGGGAGTGGAGATAAGAGTTGCCCTGGTTGTTGGTGTTAGCCATAATAACACTAAAAACAGGAGTCTTGTCTCTTACTCAACAGCCTGAGATACAATTGGGGCAGAAAACAAAGCTAGGGTTTGGAACTAAGAAGGGCAGGGAATCATCTTCTCCAAATCTTGGGCAACACAGGTGGCATGATGGCATGGTTCAGGACCCTGGGGCTGTGATAATTTACAACAATGATAATAATTACCTCCTAGCCTTCACTTATCAGAGGAGTGAGGCAGAAATTTGGCATCGGCTCCTGAATCCTGGTCTTCAATTTCCTAGCTTTGCCACCTTGGGCTTTATTTATCCTCTCTGAACCCCATTATCCTTATCTGTGGTCCAAAAGACATTTAATTGGTGGCATGTTTTAAGTGTAAGTGCCTGGCCTGTGGTAAACACTAGTGAAATACCAGCCGTCATTGTTACATTTTGTAGATTTTCCAGGCTACAAAGCATGCTCAGACCCACAGTAGCACAACATCCAGGTAGGTTAAGCAGGACCTCTATTATTCTCCCCCTTTTTTTTTTTATTTTTACAAAAGGGAAAAATGAGGGCTCTTAGAGGGGAAATGTTTTGTCTAAGAGCAACTGCTAATCAGGAATGGCAAGTGACTTGAACCCAGGCCTCCTGGCTGTGCCCCTGGCACTCTGAAGCAGGTCCCAAGACAGTAGCACTGGCTGATTGATTTGGCCTGGTCTGCTCTAGGGGAGGGACCTTGTCTGAGCCCACTACCAGGTCGAGGCTGATACTGGGAGTACCTGGGCATCGCAACGTGCCGAGGGGGCATTGAGCCAGTGGGATTGTGGGGAGGGATGAGGGCTTTGGGTTCTGGAATGGGAGAGAGGTAAACTTAATTGGATCTGAGTCATGGGCAAGGATGTGATGGGAGAGGGGCTGCCAAAGCTGGGGTTTGGGCAGGAATTCAGAATTTGGAATGCAAGGAAGGCAGCAGGGGAGAATCGCACCCAGGAATTGATTGGAGACTTATGGAGAGGTGGAAGCAGAAGACTGAGGTTTTTCGGGTTTGAGAGGAGCCTGGAGCTTCGGGTTTGGGAGGTCAGGTGAGGGGAGACCAGATTCCTGCGCTTAGGGTGGAGGACCCTGTTTGAAGAGCCAGGGTCTAAGGACTGGGGGCTTGCGCGGGGCGGGGGGGGGGGACACAGGGACACAACAGGGTGACCCAGAAGCAGGGCTGGGAGGCTCACCATACAGGGTCTGCACCGCCAGCACGTCGTCCCAGCTGAGCAGCGCGTCGCGGCCCAGCCTCTTGTAGTAGGGCGCCATGAGCGCGCGTGGCGCCGGCGAGTGGGTGAGGCCGAGCGTGTGGCCGATCTCGTGCGCCAACACCACGAAAAGGTTGCGCCCTCGGCGGCGGCTCAGAGACCAGCGCTCATCCAGGTCGAAGTGCGCTTCACCGCGTCGGGGGAGGAAGGCGTGCGCCAGGGCGCCCCCTGCAGGCGGCGCAGAGGGTCAGGGGGAGCAGCGACTCTCGCCCACGTATCCGTGCCAAACGCAAATGCCCCCCCCCCCGTGTGTTGTGGCTGTTTTCTGCTGCATAATTTCCCTCCTGATTAAGTCTTAAGCAGCTGGAGTGTGGGGAGGTGAACAGATGACTAACTAAACTATGGGGTGTGGTCTTCTAAGAGGTCCCATGATGCAGATTCAGCTTGGGGCTAAACTGCATAGGTTCCAAACCTAGTTTTACAGTTCACTACCTGTGTGACCTTGGAC